CATCTATTTTCTCCTGCAGCTCTAGTAGCAACATGAACAGGCGGCCCGCTATATCGCCCAATAGGTACCGCAGTCCGCGCGTGTCAACACGGCAGTAACAATTTATTGGTGTCAACTGTATGAATAAATTAAATTTTATTATATTAGAAAGAAAGAAAATATTCATTGACAACCATTGCATTATATATTCATATAGCCAATAGATAGACATATATATATACAGCCAGAAATTTTATGGAAACATACTTTTAAAATTTCTGGTTGGCTACAATATTATGAATTCAAAAGTCTGTTTGTTTGTTAGCTTTTAAACGGCTGAACGGATCTTAATGATATTTGCAATAAAGATAGATTCTATAATGAGGACGGCTTTCTTTTATTTGAAAAATGTAGACGTACAAACAAATAACACTAAATTTAGAATTCTAGAATAACTGGCAACCAAATTAAATAGAAATACAAAAGAGAGTTAACATATTAAAAAGAAGTATAATGTGTTGTCTATGGTTGTATTGCTACAACAAACCTTTATCTGTGGTGGCGCGACAGCTACATAACTCTGACCATCGTGGTACACAATAGACTCTTGACCAATCACTATGGCACCACCTGAATTCATATTCAAAACATTAATACTAGATTTAAAGACAAACTTGCTGTTCCTAAATATCATTTAAAAAAGTCAATGGCTCATTTATGGGCATGGGTAAAAAAATTATAATAAGATACCAAAGGATATACTGGAATTAGTTTTAAATAAATTCTTTTGATTGATTTAACAGATGTTTTAACATCTTATTGATCATTGAGCAAACCCTATTACTTACTAAACAATTATTTAAATCACAAATGTACATGGTAATAGTAGTTCATGCACAGGATTTTAATTTAATGTTAGATATAGACTCCTGTGTAAGTGTTTTCGTTGAGTTATTCTCAATTGAATCTGCATACTGAACTGGATGGTATGAAAAAAATATTAATATGTTGCCAGCATCAAAATATTTTTGGATTACACATATTAAATATAGCATAACACAGTAGCCCATCTCACCTAGGGGACTTGGCACAGGTATCAGAATAGAAGCTTCAGTTTCCACGTTGTCCTGTCGCCATAGAGGTTTAGTGAATTGTTTATCTCGTAAACCAATTTCATGTGTCTGGAACATAAAAACTTTAATTTCAATTAAGAACATAACATAAAATCATCATTAGGCGCAATTCAAAACTTGGAAATGTTCTTGATAGAGCTATTTTCTTTCATGCTAGACCACCTGGAGATCAATCTGATATAACATTGTCAGTAATAGTCATTCTTGAAATAAACTTAATATTACCAATTCTGAATATAATTTATAATATTTGTATATTCCTTATGATTATTCTGAAAGCAGACTCATCACAGGAAGAACAAGCACAAAACTTGCATATTGCTCTTTTGAATAAATTTTAAAATGTACAATTCAATAAAATTATAATAAGAACATTGTTTGTCATACCTTAATATGTCTTCCATTTAAATCTTGATGTATTAATATTAAAGTGGGATTCGAGCATCCATGCAGAAACTCTATATCATATACATTTAATTCTTCCAACCTGTAAGCAATGGTTTTTACCAAGTTTTTAACATATTTCTCAAATCACCTTGAACATTCATAAGTAGGTTTTTGTCCTTAAAAACAGTGTTTACATCTCTGTATAGAAATATACTGTAAAAAGTTTTCTACATGTGGGATCACCAGCTCTTGAAAGGGTCAATCCAGGAAAATTATTGGTTTAAGAATTTTTCAACAACTGGTTGTAATTAATTATATTATTATTATTATTAAAAGCGTCCTATTTCCTTCCACATTTCTTATTCCTATACTACTTTGAACTGGGCCTTGCTTTTTTTTGTTGCCTGTATGTTTGCAATCAGTAAGTGTAGTAACTTTATATTTTTTTAAATAATTATTAAATTAATAAAAAAATATATAAATTAAAAATTACCTTAAAGTAAAAGCTTTCAATTCTGTGGAGTCTTTATCCAGTGGTATGATTTTAAAGAGTCCATCATACAATCTCAGACCTATCACTCTGGCCTGTGGATCAATGACAACTAAGATGCCATTCTCTGAGGGTTTGCCAATGCGGTCTGCTACATTGCCATGTGCTCGTGTCACCACCTCCAGTTCACCGCTGCTGCTAGTTCTCCATTCTAGTATCATAGCATTGTAGCGAGCCGTTAGGATGAATACCAAGTCTTTGTCTTCATACTGAAATTTGAAACTCCGAAGGTTATTTTACAGAAGTCATCTTATTATAAAGTAGTAAAGTAAAAAGTTGATTGTTATTCTTGCAAAATATACATAAACTTCCATTGTTTGTTATTCTTGCAAATACTGCTGAATGGATTTTAATTATACTTTACAATAATATAGCTTATACATCAGTATAACAAATAGGTTATGGTTGCCTTGACAAAATTGCTTTTAACAACAAGTCCACCTTCTTGTATTTATACAAATGTATTGATTCTTATTTAAATGTACCGATTTACTTTTACTGCATAATGCAAATAGAAGTATATTATAATATACTTTATTTAGTAGTATAGTAGTAATCTCTGAGTGTGTATGTGTGTGCATCCATGTGAATCTTGAACAAATCTGTGTTCAACAGTAGTTCTTATTTTTTATAGGGAAAATCTAAAATGTCGACAGTTACTTACTGGAGGTCTGAACAGTTTCATTTTAGCTACTCTGCCATATAATCCAATTTCTTTCATAGGCCGCAAGCCTTCAGGGGTAACCAGGTACATCTCTAGACGTGACACTTTGGCCACCAGGAGGTTGAGGTCCGTGGGTGATGTAAAGTTGCCTGAGAAAACAAAACACTGGCTAACATTCACTGAAAACCTGTTATTGGCTTTCTCTAGATATGTACTGTAGATTAATGAATTTGATTGTAGTGAGCTGTTGGTTTTCTAATAAATAAATAAATAAACATCAATATTATAGACCACAGTCTATATAACAAACACCACAGGTATTATATAAATTATATAAAATTTGTGTGAGTGACTGAGATTTTGATGCCTACAACCACCTTTAACTAACCACCCCAGTCCACAGGGAAGTCATCCTCACATTACATCATATATATATGAATAACAAAACAATGACTTTTAGGATAGAACTTTGTAGCTACACCTCATGCATTACCTCTGTGGTTGACTAAGGACTATGTGTTATACATTTGATACCATAATTTTACTGTCTTATAGTCCGACATATTAGCTAAATGGATGTTTTCTAGAGATAGCCAGTATAGTCCAAAAGAGATATATTCTATAACAAACAGACTATTGCATGTTCTTTTTTCAAAAAGTCTTATTAAGTTTCTATGAGGGTCGGCAACAAGTATATGACACTAGTCTATTCTTTTATCATATTGTTTACCATTAGATGGAACATCGTCTTCCTTGTGATATAAAGGAATAGGATGTAATAAATCATCGTAAAACCTAATATACTGATAATTTTTCAATGGGCTTTAACTCATTGCAAAGTAATGAATAGGTTAATAAGAATTGATGTTTTGGTGTCGGTGCAGGACTGAATAGAATGACTAAGTAGGAGTAAATCATATTTTTTTATTCAAAAATAGCAAACGGTATTTATCAGTGTTTGAGGCTATGTATTAAAAACAACAACAAACATTTTCGTACAAAACCGCCGGAATTGTTTTCCCATAACAATAAGAAAATCAAAATATATTTCAATATTGTTGTAAATATATGGCCTATTTATCTACCGATTCAGTACGTTATGTATGTACAGAAAGTATAAATAGTTTGTAAAAATAGCTCGACATTCTATAATATAGTTAACCTATGCAGTATTGATTTTACTCAATTTGTGTATTTACCGGTAACACATGCTGTGACAGCCGTTGGTTTCTGTGCAGTAACAACATAATGATACGCCATGGCTGTATTTCACATAAATTGCACAATGATCTTGAATAAAATCCTCAATTGATCGCTATATTGAAAAACAATGCATTCAATAAACAAAAAATCATAACCTAAGCTGAAACCATTCCTGCTTTTTTAATCTGTGAAACTGTCGAATGTTTCTTTTTTATTTTTACATAGCGCAGAGTTCCAGTTCTTTAAGAGTTTGCTTATGGTTTAGTAAAATCCAGTATATAGTTTATAATTGTGATTGAGTTGAGTATAATCAATAAGAAAATTATTGGGATGGAATATTTGGTAATATGTGGTATATATTTGGTACCTGGAATGAGGCGGTTATAATTTTATACTAAAGTAGTATTCGACGATAAAACAATTTTTATTGAGTTTTATATTTCCATTATGTTTTTACAAAGTCATGACAACATATAATAATTAACATGTGCTCAGTATGGGTCTTGGTCATGAGCTGGAATAGTAGCATATGTTGCTTCGCCAGTCGTTTAAATATATTGAAATTTAAAGACTTGTTGCTTTATATATATATATAGATCTAAAAGAAGAGGATATCTTCCTTAATCTTATGTTCTTTTAAACTGCGTGAAAAATTACTCTTTAGAGTACGCAAAATTTTCTTTTCAATGGCATCTAGTATCATCACTAACTATAATGATTGTCATGTAGAGTCAAATACTGTACGTACATCTAATTAACATTAGGTACACAATTTTTATAAAGAAAAATTTTACATCTTTGCGAATATAATTTTGTATACATTTTAAAGCCTATATCATGTCCTATCAATCTTCTCATCAGGTTACCACACCACAGGTTACAGGCTACCAAACCAGTTACATTTTTATTTCTGACTGCCAGATTAGAAGTAACTATTTTTCAGAGTGAAAGGGGGTAGTAAACACTTAATTATTTAAAATCTTAAATCTCTACTATGCGTACATTCAGGTCGCTACTGATAAAATATAGCTATTAAAAGGTCAGTAAAGGGTAAAAAAAGCAAGATTAATGTAAAAATCACTTATAATTATTTCTTGACAATATTTACAGTTAATTAAGCAATATTATAGTTAATTCAGTCTTGACGGTTGCCGCTCGGCGGGACGCTCTGGAACAGCACTTGTGTTATAAATGTGAATTTACCTGAAAAAATAAAAAAAGGTTATTTATGAAGTTAGTTATAAACACTGGTTGCTGCGAGACCTAAGATTGGTGTTTTAAAGTATTAGACATGGTAATCCGACTTAGTTACGTAGTGTTTCCCCACATGGAGCCAACTACAAAAGGGCCACCGCCACCGCCAGTTGAAAACCACAAAAAAATAAGTAGGAGTTTAATAAAGCAGTTTCAATTACTTATATTGTTTGTCATATAATACATTATTAAAGTTTCTTTTTTCAATTTTTACTTTAAATAAATCTCATTGTTTGTCGCACTTTTTGTACATCTGACATTCGTGTTTCAATCTGAAGGTTAAGATATCACAGTAAAATTACAGAGTATTAATTAAAACTTTTCTTTATGCTGGCGGCAAACAAGCATACAGCCCAACTGATGGTAAACGGTTATGGACTACGGGTGCCTAACATAAACACCAGGTGGGTCACGTGTCTGATACCGACTCTAAAACCTTAGATCTCCGATCTTTATGACTTACTTATTTAGGTTTTCTGTTACATAATTCAGGTCTCATTACGGTCAAACGCGCTTAAACTGCGTAATAAAAAAAAGTTATTAAATATAATTATACTTACTTAAAATATAAGTAGGCGTTTTCTTATAATACACAAATATTGTGTAAACAGCTACTCCTATAACTATAAAGCCAACCGCCATCAAATATTTAAGCGATGGATCGTGTACGATTGGCAACACTGATAAGAATATCGCCACTAGTAATACAAAGCATGGCACTGGAGTAGGCACTTTGTACGGTCTAGGAGTATCTGCTTGCGTCTTCCTTAGAACTAGCAGTGCTACCATGCCCAACCCGTAGAAAAACCATAGGAACCAGCTAGCAAATTCTATAAGAGTTTGTATGTTGCCAACAACGATGAATATTGCGGTTAGGATTGCCTGAAATAAAAATGAGTCTTCTAAATTCTTTACAATAAAAAAGAGCACTAAATAAAAAATAGTAGGTACAGTGCCAAATAGTACAAAATTAAGGATACTGTGTAATTATTATATTATTATTATATTACTGTACTAGATAACTGATACATATTTAATACTAATACATACATAGTTATATACACAGATAAAAATGCAGAAACATTTTTGCAGTTGTAATATTAGTATCTATGGATGGTTTATCTACTAACTAATATTGTATTCATTATTTTTTCTTTTGAATTTTTTCATGAATACAAATGTTTGTTCTGTGCGAACAATCGAACCCGTGACCATTGAGACAGTCATTGATTTTCTTTTTGAATTTTTTTCATTAATACAAATATTTGTACGTCGGAAGTGAGGTGGTGTCGGTGGTCTGCCGGTTTGCCAGACCACCGAGGCAGAGTATAGTAATTGTATGACAAACCGCCAGAGTATGTAGTGTAATGTAAGTAGTAGACTGGGTATAGGAAATATACCTACAAAACATATAATATAACCTACTTGAAATGCAACCGCCGGCGCTGGAGTCAGTCTTTTTACGTTGACATATGAAAACACTTCGAGCATATGGCCGCCACGAGCAGCTGTGTAACACACCCTGGGAATAAACAAGAAGTTATTGCCTACATAATAATAAACTGCATTAATTAAAAAGAATATTTTGAGAAAATCAACTTTAAAGTTAAAATTGTTGAGTCGATTTTCCAAGGTTTATAGTTTTCGAGTTAATACTCTTTGCTATTAAGTGTGAATGTACAAACATTAAACACATGTTTAATGAAATGTAATGTTTTTCCAAATAATAAGTGCATTTTGCAAGAGACAGTATTATATGACGTAGAAATAGTATATTTTCTACAAAGTACCTGCAAACCTTCGATATTATTGGTGCAACTGTTTCTCATTTAAAATAAGATTGAAATTGAAAGTTTTGAGGTTTTTGTTTTAACAGAAGTTTTATTTAATGTTTAATTTAATTCCAGAATCTTCTTTGGTATCTTGTTGTAAAATTTTGTTTATAGGATTGATAAATACTGAACTCGATCGAACTGCACGCTCATAGCGCAGCCGAAGGTGGCGACGGCGACCCCGAGCGGTATGAGGAAGCTGGCTGGGCTGAGCTACGATACGACACGATACCTGGTGACGCCGAACTGCACGCTCATAGCGCAGCCGAAGGTGGCGACAGCGACGCCGAGTGGTATGAGGAAGCTGGCGGGACCGAGCACCCTCGCTCCGAAGGCAACTGCCACCGCCGGTACCGACGTCATCTCCGCGTAGCTCAGCACCGTCATGTACGCCACGTTCATGAACACGTAGAGCGCCGTGATCAAGGGCACAGCGATGGATATGCTTAGCGGCACATTCCTTTATGGAGGTGCGGTCATTTGTTAGACAGCGCCATCTAGTTTCAAACTAAGCTAACTTACGAATAATTGCAAAAATGTAAACGTAATATGTTTTTGTGATATTGCAATAAATAAGCGAAACTTGTTCTATAGGTAGTAGACAACATGAAATCATTTAATTTTTTAAAAATATATAATTACATTACAAAGAAAATTATGCCAGTATAAATCGCTGGATATGAAATAGACATTATAGTTTTATCAAAATTAATATGGTCGACGGTCTCGGTGCTCTAGTGGTTTAGCACACCGTCTTATTTCCGATGGTCGCCGGTTCGATTCCTCGCACGGCACAAACATTTGTATTCATGAGTATGATTGTTTGTATCGGTCTGGGTGTTTTCTATGTATAATATGTATGTATTTACGAAAATAAAATATCTATGTATTTGTTATCAGTTATCTAATATATCACAAGCTTTAGCATAATTTGGGTCTAGATGACACTGTGTGAATTGTCCTGAGATTATTATGTTGAAATTTGGTGAGTCAACTAACACAGCTGGGTTGATGATCTCCTCGGTGACAACAGTGACGCTGTTCCAGCCATCGTACGCCCATAGTCCCGAGTAGAGGGCCAGGGCTATTCCACCAGGGCTCGTAGTACTGCCTTCGAAGCCTTTCTTCAGGTGTTCCGTGTTTCCTGTGAATATAACAATATTACTATACTTTCTTAGGAATATTTATTTATAAGAAAGGCAAGCTAACTAACGTCCTAAGTGGCAACCGTCGTCTATACACATGAAGAGTTTCTAGGTATCAACGTATATCATGTTCAATACGCCTGTAGTACCCCTCATACAGTGCCATTACGTAGGACTAAGGTTCTAAGTGTCTCAGTATTCTATAAGAAAAAAATCCTGAGGTCTATATTTGATTTTTGTTGTCTAATACATAATTAACGGCTAACGGGTGCTGCTTGTAGAAACTGGTCTGCTCTGATAATTATAATAATGATATCAATAATAATATATTATGCTTGGTCAATTTGAAAAACTTATCCAAATTTTAACTCATATTCTTTTTGACTTATCACACTGTAATCGCTATTTAATTACGCTCTCGTTGTTTTTTTACTGCAGTAACGTATAGGATCTTACCCTTAAAAATTTCGTATATGCCCCCGCCGATGACTACCAGACAAGCAAACACTTTACACACGCCGAACACGTTCTGGACTTTGACGAACAGTTTCACGCTCGTTATATTTATATATGTCATTATAACTGGAAGAAAGTATATTATTAGATGTATTTTATTTTATTTTGGATATTCATCCATATTATATTAGTAATAAAATAAGCGATGTTATAAAATTACAATATATATCCTTGTCTCTCAATTCCATGTTACAACAAAAATAATAAGAATTTGAAATGTATCAGAACTGACTTGTCAGTTTCTTTTTAGCTCGAACGCACTCCGAACCAATGGTAGATTTGACATTATAATTAAGAGTCTGTAATAGACCTACATGAATTATGATATTATTAAGTATCATTTCATATTAATTTCATTGCATTCAGTACCTGCTGGCTATTCCATAATGAAGGTGGCGTACAGCATACCATGTATTGAATTGTAAACGAATTGAATTTGATTAGAAATGAAACAAGGAAAAACATTGATTGAATTTATATTAAAATTGTTTGTACAAGATGTTTGAATGGTAAGTTAATTAAATATGTTTGGTACTGTAACGATCACATACTAGGTATGTTGATTGTTCCATAAAAATTAGATAAATAAATCTAATACCTAATATATAGAAGTGACGTGATGTTATAAGTATATAGTAAGTGCATATTAGTAGAATTAAGATTTGTTCGTGGAACGGATACTTAAATAATTACTTCATAAAAACGGCTACAACTCTCAAACGTGTTTCTAATATTTCGTATTTCGTTCACATGCCACTTACAGATATTGTAGGGTCCTTATTTTCTAAGTATTGGTTATTTAGGTAACATAAATTAGTATACTTTATTAGACGTAGTGTCACTTAGGTAGAACTCAAGCTGAGAAGATGTCGAGTTAAAACAATAAATTAATAAGTTTATTAGACAGGGCACGACATGGGACAGTGCCTTGTTTAAGATTTGCTTTAAGGGTCGTTAGCAAAAAAAATAGTAAAAGTAAGGAGGACCAGGGGCGCGGGGGAGGCAATGCGTGTCATGGTGGGATTGAGACACGGAGAAATCAGGACAGTTGGTTTTGGGACGGATAGCGGGGGAGTCGATCTGAAATAGGCAGCGGTGTCGGAACGAGTATCGGAACAAGCGGACTAGTCGATCTGTATTAAGGGTTAATTTCCGCGTTCCTTGAGAGACGGCAACGAATGATGAATCCGGGACGGTGCAACGGTGGCTGAACGAGAGACGTCGACGTCAAAATGTTATTGGTGAGATAGAATAGCTACCACATGACAGGTCGTATAAAACTTTAATTATTATTTAAGTTATTGTAATTTTATTTTAGTCGTAAGGTAGATAATTTAGGTACACTTTGGAGGGCAGCGTGGTGATGTTAATAATTGTATTATAAATATGGTAGTATCTATGATACATAAGATTGGGTTCCATTCATGTATATAGGGGACAATGGCAAACGAGCTTCGGTAACGGTTGCTGTAACTGTGAGTAGATTTTAAGTAATGGACAAAACGTTAATTATTATAATATGCTCAGTGTAATCAACAAACTACTGAACCGATATTTAAGGAGGAGCGACTGAAATGATGATGATATTTTATTTATTCTGATATAAAACTACACTATTAAAATTAATTTGATAGATTTTGTTATTGATTTACTAAATGTGCTCCTGTCCATATGATTAATATTTAATTATTAAGTACGGCTTGATAATTGATAAATACTTATGAAATAATTATTCATTTATATTAAGGGGAAACTACCCTGACCCCTCTAAGAATTTTGTGTGATGTACGCTTCCACAAGGTGGAAGTCACAAATAGAATATATTTTCAAACCGAACCATAGCAAATAAATATAATATTTTCGGATGTTCTCCATGGTTATGTTCACCTTTGACTCTAGATTTACATCTGTTATAACTTGATTCGTTCAGTGTCGTCGATTCTTGGATGTAAGTTTTCCTAGGCCCGGCTGACTAGAACCCTACCTTGTTCTCGCAACTCGTGTTAGATCTAGGTCCAGGAGTGCCGAGAATGGATTGTCTTATGTCGGGTTTTAAGGGCTCTTAATGTGGTCAGGAAGTAGCAGATGTGGGTCCCCTGCGCGAACCTATTTTAAAGGTGTAACTTAACTGTAGCACTATCGTATGCGTCCATTCTGATAGAATATATTACAACTATAGTTCCAACTGGGTTAGTCTTCAATAATGAGACTAAGATATTTATCTTCTTTCTTTATCCAATTTTCATACTACGAGGGAACTACGAGTCGGTATCCAGGTATAAGACGACGCGTGCACGCGACGAAGGTGACCTCCGACAGCAACCAACGAATCTTACAGCTGGGTTCCTGATAGTTCTAATATTAAGAAGTTATGTATAACATTAATTTCAATCATAAGCATGTAAACATTGTAACAGAAACATTATTATAACAAAGAGCAAAATCCAAGTTTCTTGCCCGTATCTTCTTGGTCGTAGATAGGGTTCCGAACGGGTGGTAAAGTCATTTAATATTAAATTCATTTAAAACACATAACGAATCGAATAACGCTGCTCACGTAATAAAACCGAAAATAAATAACTTCATTTGCGGCTCAATCCTTGTTTTATTTCTTACTACTATTTCCTAGATAATAATCAAGTAGGCTTCATATTTTGCAGTAGGTTATTTCTTAGGTATTAATCGTAACAACGTAGAGTCCTAGACGATCACTTGGCCATCACAACGACATATATACGTAAGCATTAGATAGGGATAGTTAGGTCTGTGTTACGACCGTTTGTCGTCACTCAGTGTAGATTATGTAGGGTTAGGGTTAGAGATATTACAGAATGGTGCCGCGTGACCAGGATTATACGTCAGACAATCTTGAATTACTTCGTAGTTCAAGAACGTGTAATTAAAAGAATTTGGGTTACTACAGTTTACTTTGCTTTACGGTTTATATTGCGTTACGCTTACGGGTTCTCTATTCTTCATTTCGTTTCTTTACGGTTTACTTTGCGTTACGTTACGTTCTGTTTACGGGTTCGCTATTCGTTTCGTTTACGGTTTACTTTGCGTTACGTTGCGTTCTGTTTACGGGTTCTCTATTCTTCATTTCGTTTCTTTACGGTTTACTTTGCGTTACGTTGCGTTACGTTTACGGTTTCTCTATTCTTCTTTTCGGTTCTTTACAGATTACCTTGCGTTACGTTTACGAATTCTCTCTTCTTCGTTCCGTTTCTTTTAATTTTATTTCGGTTTTGATTTGTTTTCGGTTTTATTTGTAACTTAAATTTGGTTTTATTTCTTTTGTAATACTTTGATTTGGATTTTGCTCTATGCTACGTTTTTTTTTTTACTTTTATGTGTTAGGTTAAGTAATCCTAATATAATGATTCTCTTTCAGGAACCTGATCGCCTTGTTGGTATGCGTAGGTTTGATTACCACTACTTGTAGTCATTTCTATTATAAGGTCATAGGGGCGTAGGAACTTAATTTTACTAATATTATAATCACGGAAGTTTTGAGTGTAGATGAATGCATGGATGTTTGTTACTCTTTCAAGCATAATTTCTGAATGGATTTCAATGAAGCTTTAAAATAATGTAGCTTATACATCAGAATAACACATAAGCTAGAAATTACAAGCGGGTGAAACCGCGGGCGCAGCTAGTATGTAATATAGTAATATAAAGGAAAAAAAAAAATGTTTAAGTACAGGCTAGGGGCGTAGTAGGAAACTTTGTAACGCCAAGATAGAGTAACGCTTAGATATGAGGGGTATACTCGGTCAGCATAGTTTAGAATATGGGCTAGATGTTATCATATGTATACACTGACAAACAACAGAGTAGAGAGTAGGTCCTCAACTAGCAGCGCTGACTTAACAGCAGTTTCAGGGTAGTAAAGGTTTAGGGGCGAAGTATTCAGGGTAGTCAGTTTAATCGATATAAATATATATCGTTAAACAAGGGGTATAGAGTGAATGTAATTATGATAGCTGTATAATTTAAATAAGAGTAGATTGCCGATTGTCTTGTATGTGCTTTTTTCTATGGTATATACATATTTGTTAAACAATGTTTTTCAGGATCTGACTATCTGATGACCGGCCGACAGATAAGTAATTATTTGTATCAACCTCCTTCAGCACAACGGCAGACGCGGAGCCGAATTGCTTGAGCAGTCTTCAAAGCGAGCGGAGAGCGGTATATGTATCATTTTAATATATTTACTGTAGATCTGAGTAATCTACAGTTCGCGTAAACAAAATTTATATGACCTGTCTTGTGGTACTTATTCATTTCTAAATGATAGTACATAAGTGATTACATTTTATATAGCATATAAAGTAGTAATAGATTTTATAATTCTCGGTATCTTACGGTATACGGTATAACGTCTTCATAATATTACGAATTGTGCTCTATATAGGTGATCTATAATTAAACATTTTAAAATGAGGAAACAAAAAAAAAAAAAGGGACAAATAGTTGTCTTAAGTGAGTTAGGTACGTTTCTAAGAGTTGATTTTTAAAAATTTTAAGTATTTGCAAATTAAGATTTTGTGTAGTTTACAAGTGGCCAGTTCATGAGAGCTAAACAAAAGTTAAGATAAGACAAAGAGCTCGCCGTAGTAAGAAACAATTTAAAAACTTAGACCCTTTTTTTGTTATAACATGTGGCCTGCAATTAAAGCTTCGATTGCTTTACTCTGAATTTATTTTAGCTGACATTATTTTTTTTTGGGATCATATTCACAATAACCGAGAAGGGACGCGTCCATAAAAAATAATTACACTGCTATTCATAGTTTCGGTAGGTAATAAAATAAGAAGCAGTGATTTAAAATGTTTTGTTTCAAGGTTGCCAATCATAAATAAACTGTGTTTTAGTAATGAGATGTAGTCATCTAGGGATAGGAATACTAAGTCAGAAATTTTGCAAATTTTATGCAGACGTCTTTAGTTTCTAAGTAGTCGTAGGTATTCGTTGGACTTTGCGAGTGTGGTTTGTAGTAGACGTAATACTCATTACTATTGTCAGTTTACATCTTCTATTATTTCTTTTTATTGTTACGTCTAACAAGTTTGGAAATTCTGGCGTGAATCAATAT